CAGGGGTCGCCCAAGGGGCACCCCGCGTTCTGCTCCCGGGGGGGAAAGAAGCAAAGGAAAGAGGCTGCCCAAGTGACTAATCCTGGAGATGCCCTTTCCCAAGGCGCTGCCGAGCTCCCCGGAGCCCTCTTCCCAGATCGCCGCCGCCTTGAACCATCTCTAGCCGTTCGGGGCCGCGGGGCAGCGCCAGCTCTCTGGGGGCCTGGCCCGGGATCCTTTCTCTAAACCCTCCCGATGGTTTTTGCACCGGGAGCCGAACCCCGGGTGCGCGCGCCCGGCAGGAAAGACTCGGGCGCATCTCCTGGGCGCGCGGCTGTGCTCTCTGAGCTCCTGGGGCTTTGGGAGAGACAACCCCAAGGCAAGGTAGGTGGCTCAGGATGCAGCTGGACTGGGCTTGACCCGAGTAAAGGTGCGATCTGCTCAAGTCTTGGCCGTCTTTGCTTTCTCTTTGCTCTTTAGGGCGTTTGGGGAGCCGCTGCGAGAGCCAGGGGTTTGGAGGAGCGAGGCTTGTATTTTCAGCTGCGCCTCAGCCCCAAAATGTGACTACAATTGACTAGCTCGGCAGAGGCCTCCAGTCTCTGGATCGATAGCTTAGAATATGCTAAAAGGCCGGTGCTCTCCATGGGGAATTGAAGGGCCGGCTGGTTGCAGTGACAGTGACCTGGAGCAAGGGAGCCAGAAGACAGTTGTAGGAAGCAAGAGGGACCTTCCAAGGGGATGACCGGGACTGCCGGGGGCAGGCTCCCGCACGCCGTCGCTGCAGCCCTCTGATGGGGTGCCCGTGAGGTCCACACCCCGGGGAGCAAGTGGCACCGTGCAAGGGGCTGCCCTGTGAGCGGGGACTCCTGCGGCTCTGCCTGACCCCTCGCCCCTGCTTAGGAACTTGAGGGCTCTCGGAGCGCCGGGCAGGCGCTGTCCCCCAGCACCATGAGGACCCTGAACACCTCCGCCATGGACAGGCCCGGGCTGGCGGTGGAGAGGGACTTCTCCGTCCGCATCCTCACAGCCTGTTTCCTGTGCCTGCTCATCCTGTCCACGCTCCTGGGGAACACTCTGGTCTGCGCCGCCGTCATCAGGTTCCGGCACCTGCGGTCCAAGGTGACCAACTTCTTCGTCATCTCCTTGGCCGTGTCTGACCTCCTGGTGGCTGTCTTGGTCATGCCCTGGAAGGCGGTGGCCGAGATCGCCGGCTTCTGGCCCTTTGGGTCCTTCTGTAACATCTGGGTGGCCTTTGACATCATGTGCTCCACGGCGTCCATCCTCAACCTCTGCGTGATCAGCGTGGACAGGTACTGGGCCATCTCCAGCCCCTTCCGGTACGAGAGGAAGATGACACCCAAGGCAGCCTTCGTTCTGATCAGCGTGGCGTGGACCTTGTCCGTGCTCATTTCCTTCATTCCCGTGCAGCTCAGCTGGCACAAGGCAAAACCCGCGAGCCCCTCCGACGGGAACGCCACTTCCCCGGGCGAGCCCGCGGACAACTGTGACTCCAGCCTGAGCAGGACGTATGCCATCTCATCCTCTCTCATCAGCTTTTACATCCCCGTGGCCATCATGATCGTCACCTACACCAGGATCTACAGGATCGCCCAGAAACAGATACGGCGCATCTCGGCCCTGGAGAGGGCGGCCGTCCACGCCAAGAACTGCCAGACCACGACGGGGAACGGAAACCCCGCGGAGTGCGCGCAGCCGGAGAGCTCCTTTAAGATGTCCTTCAAAAGGGAGACCAAGGTCCTGAAGACGCTGTCGGTGATCATGGGCGTGTTTGTGTGCTGCTGGCTTCCCTTCTTCATCCTGAACTGCATGGTGCCCTTCTGCGGGTCGGGGGAGACCCAGCCCTTCTGCATTGATTCCATCACCTTCGACGTGTTTGTGTGGTTTGGGTGGGCTAATTCCTCCTTGAACCCCATCATTTATGCCTTCAATGCTGATTTCCGGAAGGCATTTTCAACCCTCTTGGGATGCTACAGGCTCTGCCCGACGACCGGTAACGCCATAGAGACGGTCAGCATCAACAACAACGGGGCCGTGGTCTTCTCCAGCCACCACGAGCCACGAGGCTCCATCTCCAAGGACTGCAACCTGGTGTACCTGATCCCGCATGCCGTGGGCTCCTCCGAGGACCCGAAGAGGCAGGAGGCAGGGGGAGTAGCCAGACCCTCGGAGAAGCTGTCCCCGGCCCTCTCTGTCATTTTGGACTACGACACCGATGTCTCTCTAGGAAAGATCCAGCCCATTACACAGAATGGACAGCACCCCACCTGAACTCCGCGGTGAATCCTGCCAGCCGCGCTCATCCCCACAGCGGGAGGAGGTCTCCCCGGGGCTTGCTGTTAAGAAACTAAGGTGCGGTGAGACTCGGAGGTGTCAGGCGGGCTCTCCTCTGCTGCTGCTCCTTCAACCACTAACTCGATTTAAAAATACACCCCAGTGTGTTTTCTGTGTTCTTCATGGTAAATCAAAGAGCCACACATGTGAGGAGAGTGCTCACAAGGGACGTGTCTTTGGCTCCAAAATTATTTTTAGAACCCGGTTCTTATCTTAGGACTTAAAAAATAGGGCACAGACTCAACAGTGAACAGCTTCACTTAAAAATGAAACCTTTCTGGGAAGGAGGTGAGAAGGGTTGCGTTTGCTGTGTACAAACAGGTGCTAACACTGGTCCGAGCAAAGCTGTCAGGTTGTAAAGGTAGGTGCTCGCCTTCCTGAATTACTTCTCAAAAACAATCGAGCCTTACAGTGCGAGTGGGATTGTTCTTTTCAGAACCGAGAGATGCTTTGTGGATATTGGTTTTATTTATTTATTGTATTATATGGGTATTTTTAATTTATTATAATAAATCTATATTTATCATATTTAATAGGATACACTGATGAGTTATCTGAGATCTCCCAGTAACATTTTTGTCCATTTAACTTGCACTTTATATAAGCCAATGAAACAAACCCATGGACTCCCTGAGATCCTAAATCTAACTCCCAGAAACACAGAGAAGACTGATAGGAAGTGAGCTTGTGGGGACTCCTTAAAATTCATCAGCATAAATAAAGACAAGGTGAACGCTGACAAATGCTGTGAACGATCCCCCCAAAAAAACATTTTGAAAAAAGCATAGCTGCTGTTGTACTCCTCAGAATTTTTTAAGGGACCAAGACTTTCCTGAGAGAACGATTTGCAGTTCTGTAAATATCTTAAAAAGAAACAAACAAACCCAGCTTAAGAAGCCAACTTGAAATATATCATCTTAGGTGGTAACGAAAAGTCCATGCCACTTTGTATCTATGTAAAATAACCGGCCCTCTCCCTCTTTTCTCATCCCACCTGTCGGATAGCTTTTCTGAACCAAACAGTGGCTGTGTCCCGGGTCCATGTGTTAGCTCAGCTGTCACGACAGGCTCACCGAGGGACAGAGGTCGAGTCCTGCACCCCCATCTCACCAGGTCAAGGCCTGCTTTCTGTAGCGCTTTAACCTGAAGTTAGAATTGCTTTTCTAAAAGTCTAAATGTTAACAGTATTCGAACAAATAGTGCCTCATGCCCATCCCCCAGCCAGCCCCTCCTGCTGGGGAAAGCAGGCGACCCTGCCTCTGGGTGTGCTGAGCATCCCCGAGCCATCAGCATCTCTTCTGACCAACGCGAGCCCTCCCTCTGTGCTCTCAGTCGCCTTCCCGGTCCCCGAGCATCCCCACCATTCATGCGAGATACTAGTCCCTGCGGGGCGTTTCGAGAGGGTTTCCCTGCGGCGGTGCCAGGGCTTCCTTGTGGGCAGAGGGAGCGGGTGCCCGGGAGGGGAGCTGCGGGCGTGATCTCCTGCGGGGTCTGTGTAAGGTACGCATTGTGAATGTTTTCTCGACTCTGCTGCCTGTATGCTTTCTTACATATAATAAAATTATTTTGTGAACTCAAATCAACCCTGAACGAGCCGTGTTGCCTTTGTTAAATGTGTTTTAAGAACGAAAACATTTCAGACCCACAAGTGAGGAAACGTGGCATTTTCAAGGACCTGTCACCTGCTGCCTTTCAGCATTTAAGCAGATGTGTTTGATTTGGGCTGCACACTCCCGTGTCCTTCTGTCGTAAAGACTTTTTAATATATTTTTAAAAGAAACCCTTCTTTATTTGAGGAATTACTCTGCTTTTCATTTCACAGATTTGAAAGGTTCCTAAAAACCTCTGATTTGGCTTTCAAAGCACCCAGGGACTTTAAACGATGCAAAAATCACAGAGGCGACTGTGGCTTGCTGCCTCTCATGGCAGCCACTGTGTGTGTGTTTGTTTTCAGAGTAAACAGAACAGGAGATTTTTCCTGGAGAAAATATACAGGTTGGAGTGCTGGGCTCCTCACAGTGTCCCCCGAGCACAGGCCGACCCTGCCAAGCCTGTGCAGTTGTGTGCTAACCCTTCCCCTCCTCACCTGGCTGGAGAAGGCGCAGCGGCAGGTGGGGGGGAGCGAAGGGTTAAGTTGATAATTTGGAACATCACACGACAGATGGTGTCTTTCTAATTCCATATTTGCCACCCCCAGGCTTTGGCATGTAATGAACATGTCTAGAATGAGCGCCCATAAAGGCGAGGCTCAGGATTGCTTTCTGCCTCATAACTTTCTGGATATCTTTACTCTTTGCAGCTTAATTTTTTTTTATTGGAAGTCCAGCTCCACCAGCTACAATGTTCAGGGTTGACACGTGGCACAAAAGCCTTCCCCACTGGTTTTGTCGGCAGAATGAAAATTAAAGGCATATCTAGAAACGATGTTCAATAATCACACAATGCAGGGTGCCGTGGACAAGACCCGGCGTCGGGTTCGGGGCGTGTCGGATGGATAAAGGGCGTGTCATGAGGTGTTCATTTCGCCGAAAGACTCTTTCAGAGAATGTCCTTTGCAGCCATGAAAGCAGATGACAATAGGACTTTCATTTCATTTCCAACTGCAGTAATGAGCCTTCGTAATGCGACATCTCTGTGCAATACTTTAGCAAGGCAGAGACGGGTTTAAAGAGGTGTCTTTTCCCCTCTCCACCTAAGGAGATTCCTCTCCTGGCCACATAGATGCGGGGCCCTTGTTGAGGAGGGGACAGTGGGAAGCCTTTAGGAAGGGAGACCCAGCGCTGGGCTTCCCCCGGCACTGTTGGAGTTTATTTAGGAAGTTTCTCTTGGGATCTGGGCAGGTCACAGTGTCTGAGGCTCAGTTGTCCAAATCCATTGAAGGGGAGGAACAAAGCCTCTGCATTAACATCTCAGTGAGGGGAACCGGTACATAGTGTAGCCTCAGGGGCTTTCTGAATTCTCCCTCCCAGGGCTCCATCCTGATGCCCCCAGGTCTGCACCAGGGGCTCTGGGGTCTGGCACCCAGGCTTCGCGTTAGTCACCGAGGTCCTCAGCCAGCTGCCACTGTCCAGCTATGTGAGACTCATGGTGTCTGTGCCGCCCTGGGCCCGGCTGCTCGTTTGTGAGGTGGAAATAAGCCTGCGGGTCTCGTGAGGGCTGCTGAAGCCACGCGTGTCGGGGCCGCGAGCCCGCGGGATGTGCTCTGAGGAGCTGAGGACATAACTGCCTCGGTGCGACCGAGCTGCTTGCACCTGACTTCTCGCAGGTTCGCTCGGGGCGCATGGGCCGCCCTCAGAGAACAGGCCGTCTGGGCTTCCCCGCCACACCGTTTCCTTTGGCTGTAATTGTCCGATTCCGGGAGCAAGCGGCTTTGGATATCTGTGTGGTTCAGACAGTCGCCCTGATTTACCGCTAGATACTGACCAAATAAACCTGTCCACAGGGTTTTCGTCTAAAATCTAATTACCGTGCAGAATTCATTTCAGGAGTAATGAGTTAGTTGGTGACCGGCCAGCTCTGGGCTGTGAAAACTAGGACCCGTTGCTGCTCAATCCGGTGACCGTGGCCTTTGGAAGGAGCTAACACAGTGGCCAGGGGCCTGTGGTCTCGCACAGGTGAGACGCACTCTGGGTTTCTCTGAGATTTCCCGAGAGAAGCCTGGTGTATCAGCCGGTTCGTTTTCATGGGGATTGAGAGGCTGCCGAGCGTCACAGCCCAGAGAACCCCTGGATTTTGTTACTAGGCCAGTCTCGCCATGTCGCCTCGGTCCTGTTAAGTACCTTCCATGTGATGTGCAGAATTTGTTGTTGTTGTTAATGTCACCTGAGGGCATTTTTCCCATTGATTTTTAGAGAGAGTGGAAGGGAGGGAAGAAAGGAGGGAGAGAGGGAGAGAGGGAGGGAAACATCAGTGTGAGAGAGACACATCAATTGGTTGCTTCCCGCACATGTCCCAACTGGGGCCAGGGATTGAGCCTGCAACCCAGGGATGTGCCCTTGACCAGGAATAGAACCTGTGACCCTTCAGTGCCGGCACTCCAGCCACACTGGTCAGAGCAATGTACAGAATTTTTAAAAAGCAGCATTTGGCCTTGAGTCTGTTACATCATTCAAGATTTGGGAGTTGTAATTTAAATAGTATTAGAGGCTCAAGAAAAATCTCTGATTTAAAGGGTTTAGCTTTTTAATCACTATGAGAAAATGTATAAAACCGGTTACATTTTTTTTCATGCTCAAAGAATTGACCAAACTGGCCAATGTGTCCAGCCCTGGAAAAGGAGCCTCCCTGAGCTGTGGCCTCGGAAGTGAGCCCGCCTCCGGCTTCCACCAGCAGAAATGCCAGCAAAGGGGCAGGCGTGGTGGGTCCTCAGAGCCCTGGGTTGTAGGGCGGAGGTTTTTATTTCATTAAAAAATTTTTTCTAAAAGATAAATAGCTTGGATAAACTATATTCCTTGAAAATGAGTTTTCTCATCTCAACAATAAGGGAGTTTGTAGAAATGATTTTTAGGATATTTTTTGGCTTGACAGTACTAGATTTGAGATCCATTCTGGGCACAATAAGAGGCGGACAGGTTTCCCCTGATAGGTGTCCCACGTCTCCATTGTCTTTGCTGTTAGAAAGTGAAAAGAGTGTTATTTATAAAATGCAAATAGAATTGTGCTAGGCCCTTGCTTAACATTTTTTGATGACTTCCAATTACTTTCAGGAAAAAAAACAACCCATCCAGTTTTTGGAAGGCCCTTCATGATCAGCCCCTAGATCTTTCCTCTAGACTATGAGTATATTGAGAAGGAAAGCCATCTTATTATTTACACCTTTGTCAGACAAATGAAAGAATGACCGAGGCAAAGCAGGGGACCCTGGAGCCAAATCTCAGTGATGTTTATTTCTGGGTGGTGGGTACACGTGGTCTCTGAGGCCTGCTGCTCCCTGGGGTGGGAAGTGGTTGTGTAGAGGTCACTGTGCACACACATGTGTACACACACACACACTCATGTGTGTTTGTGTATATCCTCGATGCCATTTGCAGTCAGAAATGTGTTGTGAG